CTGTGTTCCCCCCCCCTGTGTTCCCCCCCGGGGGTGCCTGTGTTCCCCCCCGGGGGTGCCTGTGTTCCCCCCCGGGGGTGCCTGTGTTCCCCCCCGGGGGTGCCTGTGTTCCCCCCCGGGGGTGCCTGTGTTCCCCCCGGGGGTGCCTGTGTTCCCCCCGGGGGTGCCTGTGTTCCCCCCCGGGGGTGCCTGTGTTCCCCCCGGGGGTGCCTGTGTTCCCCCCCGGGGGTGCCTGTGTTCCCCCCCGGGGGTGCCTGTGTTCCCCCCCGGGGGTGCCTGTGTTCCCCCCCGGGGGTGCCTGTGTTCCCCCCCCCCCCGGGGGTGCCTGTGTTCCCCCCCGGGGGTGCCTGTGTTCCCCCCGGGGGTGCCTGTGTTCCCCCCGGGGGTGCCTGTGTTCCCCCCCGGGGGTGCCTGTGTTCCCCCCCGGGGGTGCCTGTGTTCCCCCCCGGGGGTGCCTGTGTTCCCCCCCGGGGGTGCCTGTGTTCCCCCCCGGGGGTGCCTGTGTTCCCCCCCGGGGGTGCCTGTGTTCCCCCCCGGGGGTGCCTGTGTTCCCCCCCGGGGGGGTGCCTGTGTTGTTCCCCCCGGGGGTGCCTGTGTTCCCCCCCGGGGGTGCCTGTGTTCCCCCCCGGGGGTGCCTGTGTTCCCCCCCGGGGGTGCCTGTGTTCCCCCCGGGGGTGCCTGTGTTCCCCCCGAAGGACGCTTGGAATTGGGGGTGTCCTGAGGTTCTTCCGATGGTGCCCTCTGTTGTATGCGTCATTAAAAATACAGGGTTTGAATGATCTTGCGGTCCAGTTGGGCCTGTTGGATGTTCTGCAGGTGCATCGTGTGAATGTGGTGTGTTTGGTGTGGGTGTGTTTTCTTTCCTGGCTCCTGCGTGAGCTTCTGCTTGGCTTGGTGTGTTTTGGTGTGGTATGCCTACGCCACCCCAACACATGCCCCGTGTGTTGGGGTGGCGGGCATGTTGGTGTGTGTTGTTGTTCCCTGTGTTTGTTACATGGGTTGTGTGTGTGTGCTTCATTATTTTGTTTTGTGCATATTTTATTCCTTGTACCTTTTATGCTCTTTATATTATGTGTGTTTATTGCTCCTCTGTATATAGCACCTGCCTTTTGTGTACTGTTGTGCTCGGTCCTCTGTGTGGGGGTTTGGGGAACCCGGGATATTATTATGTTTAACACCCCTTTGTGTTATGAGGGTGGTTGTCTTTATGTTCCTATTGGTTGTTATTACTTATGCCTTTTTTATGTTGTATTTGGTTGTTTCCTGTGCCATGTGTTATGTCATGTGCTGTTTGTAGTTTTGTGCAGTTTGCATTTTGTACTCTTTCCTGTGCCTCCTTGTATTTACATTCTGTATGTTACATGGTTTTTGTAGTATTGTTTCAGATTTTGGCACGTTTCTTGTATGATTATGTTGTTCTTTCCTTGTTGCCTGTTTTGAACTTTGTTTTTTTATATCAATAAAAAAAAAGTTGATCATCGCAGCACAAGTGACACCAGGTCATAGTTCACATTGTTATACATCGTTCACATTGTTATATTTGTGTATATTTTTATGCGTCCCATATGTTTGTCTAAATTCAGTACCACTGGGCTCCCCCGCGGCTGCAGTAGTGTCAACAGAGACAATATTGCTGTTAATACACCCGTGTTAAGTGTACAGCTCTACCAGTGTAGAGCTTGAGGTCAACTTGAATGAGTAAGTTACTTATTTAAGACTTGCATGTCCATCCGAGACTGTTAGTCTTTCGTTGACAATTTATGCAACGTTTGTTTTAAGGTTGCAGATAGTGTTAACAATATTAATGGTTACTGCTACCTCTAGACTCCTTGTAACTCTGCCTATTGGCATAATTACGGTCCTTAACTACTCATAACTGAACCAATCTGTATATTGGGAAGCAGATGGTCAACATCTGGTGTTGATTGAAGTCATGACGATTCTTTTAGTTGAAGCCGAGAAAACAAGGGAAGTTGGACAACCATAACTGGTAGCTACACAAACACATTTACATCTTCCATAACTCCACTACGGTAATCATCAAAATATCGACCACGAGGTGAGAGTTGTTCAGGTGTGAGAGAGATCACTCTACTCTCAGATCTGAGAGTTGTTCAGGTGTGAGAGAGATCACTTGACTTAAGTTTGACTCGCTTGACTTAAGTTGAGTTTAAGATCAAAACTAAGTACTACCTAATTAAATCCTTGTAACCTACCTCACCCCCAAAATGTCAACCCATTCTACTATTTTAAACAATGCTGTTTGTTGTCCAAATTGTATTTTTGCTATTTTTTCTGCCATGTTTCCAAACACTTTTTTTTTCTGTCAACAAAATTTATACTTTATCTCAATTAGTATTAAGTTTGTCTTATTTTTTTCCTGCTCGAAACACTTTGCGTAATAGTGTCTTTAGGCATTGTACTACTCTTCACCTTGATGCTTGTCTTGAGCAAGCACCATTGATGCTTGTCTTGATGCTTTGCACCATACTGGGTTGCGCCTCAGTTCTGGTGCCTTTCGTTCGACTCCCGTCCTCAGCTTGTATGTTGACACTGGATTCCTATCTCTCCAGGACCGCCGTGATCGCTACTGTCTTTGCTATCTTGCGCGGTCCTTGCAACATCCTTCCTCTCGCCTCTGTCGTGCTTTAACTTTTACCCCTCCTGCGGTTCCTGTTCCTCTTCACCACCTCCCTCTTTCTGTCCGGTTATCTCGCTTACAGGATTCTCTTTCCGTTCATATTTCTAATATTTCTCCTCGTGTTGTTCCTTCTTTGCCCCCGTGGAGTCCCCCTTCCGCAGTTTTGTACATCCTTGACCGCATCACTAAAGCTTTTACCCCTCCTACGGTTCTAAAATGCCTTTTCCTTGAGCACTCCCGCTCCGTTTCTTTTTTTTTATTTTTTTTTATTAATATATGAGGTACATCTGCATTAGTGCAGCTGCCCTAGACTGTATGAAGTGGAGTACAGTGTGTCAAAAAAGCTAACTACGTGATGCTATAAAATACCCATCACACAGGATGGTTAGTCATACAGAGGCATGTGATGGGCAGTCTGCACTGGCAGACTCCAGAAGCATTTTGAGAATATCATCAACACAGGATTGAATAAGGCAGCAGTGGTAATAAAAGTCCCCATCTTGCAGGATGGTTAATCATACAGGGCCATATGTTTAGTAGCCTGCACTGGCAAATTTTGGGTACACTGTGAGGATATCTTCAAGAATACGAGAGTGAATAAAGTAATTGCAAAGCTCCAGGTACCTCATGCCAACTGGTCTGAAAGGTCTAATAACTGGGCATTCAGTGATGTAGTGCGGGAGATCGTGCCATAGTTCCTGCTCACAGAGTTTGCAACTGGAGTGCTCAGGATTGGGAGATCCGTCACCTGCAGCCACCTGCCACAGGTAACGGTAACCCAACCTGATCCTTGCAACCACTGTGTCGCACAGTCTAGTGGACGTTTTGTGCGCTCCGTTTCCGTCTTCACCGATGGGTCTAAGTCTGCGGATGGTGTAGGCTACTCTGTTGTTTTTCCTGATTGCACTTATGTATCGCTTACCTCCAGAGACTAGCATCTTCACAGCGGAGCTTTATGCTATAACCTATGCTCTTCGTCTCCTGCTTTCTCGTTGTCAGTTTTCCTTTATCGTTGTTGTTGTTGACTCTCGTAGTGCCCTCATGGCTCTCGGGTCCTTTAATCCGGTTCATCCAGTGGTTGTCGAGATCCAGCATTGGCTGTTTCTTGTTCACAGTAAATTTAAGTCGGTTGAGTTTTGTTGGGTTCCCAGCCATATTGGTGTCTCATTAAATGAGCGTGCGGATGCTGCCGCCAAAGAAGCTGTCCGCTCTTGTCCCATCTCTCATAAAGGTATTCCTTATTCCGACTTTTACCTGGTTATCCATTCCTCCATCCTTACTCGTTGGCAGGCTTGTTGGTCGTGTATTACTGGTAACAAACTACGTACTCTTAAAAGTTGTGTGTCCTTGTGGCCGTCCTCCTGCCAACGTAACCGGCGATGGGAAACGGCTCTGGCAAGGATGCATATTGGCCATACTCGCTTGACTTATGGTCTCTTGATGGAGCGCCGCCCTGCTCCTTATTGTTCATATTGCATTGTGACTCTTACGGTCGTGCATATCTTTGTTGAATGTCCTGACTTCCGGGACGAGCGTGTGTCTTGCTTTCCGACCGTCCCCCGCAGTCGCTTGTCTCTCGATAGTGTTCTTGGTGACTCGGATACTTTTGATATCATTCACCTTATGCGTTTCTGTTCTCGTATTGGCACCATTGGTGATATTTAGCGCCCTCTGATTATCCCGCACATTTGATGGTGCTACATAGCCTTCCCGGTTTGGTGCCTTCTTTTGATAATTACTTACTTTAGGCATTGTATGTACTAGCTATATCTATAAATCCATCAACGTTTTGTATCTATGTATGTACTTTACCTGAATAAATATTTGTATTTTGTATTTGACTCATCTGAGAGTTGTTCAGGTGTGAGAGAGATCACTCGACTCATCTGAGAGTTGTTCAGGGAGATCACTTGACTCATCTGCTAGGATTGAAAAACACTTAGCATCCCTAGTGCATGTCAGCAGGTGGCCTTGACCTTCCTCTCAAGTCTTAATCACCTAACTTTGAATGGTAGAATTTTAATACACTTTAATTAATTCCACATTTCTGAGATGTTAATCACAAGTCCACACATGTTGAGATTACAAACACATACCCCACCCTGGCACGTGGTTAAGTCCCCAACACCTTGGCGTGTGGTTAAGTCCCCATCATCTTGGCACGTGGTTAAGTCCCCAACATCTTGGCACGTGGTTAAGTCCCCATCATCTTGGCGCATGGTTAAGTCCCCATCATCTTGGCGCATGGTTAAGTCCCCATCATCTTGGCGCATGGTTAAGTCCCCATCACCTTGGCGCATGATTAAGTCCCCAACATCTTGGCGCGTGGTTAAGTTCCCAACATCTTGTACCGCCACAGAAGCGACGCTTGACCTACTGCGTCGCCTCTCGTGCCAGCTGGAGGGGATGAGGGTGTTCCGTCCCGAGGACCTGCCCAAGCGACTCCACTACAGCAACAACAGACGCCTCGGCGACATTGTGCTCGACCTCGACCCCGGATACTTCGTCAAAGACCTCCGACCCAACATCAAGTCGCGGCCACCCCTGCAGGGTCTACACGGCTACGACTACTACTTCCCCGAGATGAACGTGAGTAGTTACTCCCCCCCCTCACCTGTTTACTGGCCAGGGGCTCTTACTGACGTGTATTGTATATGCACTCACTGAAGTGCATTGTCCCTGCATGTTGTGTAGTTAGTGGCTGCCACCTAAACATAGGTTAACATCTGTGTAAGACGTTAAATTTCTTCGGTTCGTTTTTACTCCTGACAGCACTATCATCACACATGATGAGGGGGGGTGGTTTGAGCTCAACCCCCGCATGCACAATTAGGTGAGTACATGACATGTATAGAGTGTGTGGGGTGAGACGAGTGTTAGGGAAGATATTCATGTAAGGCATGACACTCATTAATGTGAGGTGTGAATGTTAGAATTTTAAGTACAGGGGTATCTCGGTTTACAAATTTAATCTGTTCCCAGAGACGGCTCGTAACCCGAAAATTCGTAAACTAAAGCGAATTTCCCCATAAGAAATAATGGAAAATGAATTAATCCGTTCCAGACTCCCCAAAAAATTAACATAAAAGTAAATTTTATGTCTAATTCACCCAAATCTTCAGTACAAAAGTATGTACAAGTTATTACTTACCTTTACTGATGACTCCTGTTGGCGTATGGAAGACGGTAAGGAGTGGGGAGGAGGAGAGGTGTTACTGTTTGGAAGGATGTTATAATGGAAGAGGAGTCCCCTTCCATTATAACATCAGGCAGTGATGACTTCTCTGGGGTACACTCTCTGGCACGTTTTGCCTGCATACCACTAGGACCTGCTTGTGACTCACTGCTTGCTTGTCTTACTAAGAACCTGTCTAAAGACACTTGTTTTTCCCTACATTTTAACACTTGTCTGTAGTAATACATCACATTGTCATTTAAAAGGTCAATGCAACGGCCTGCTACAGCTTTATCTGGGTGAGTTTTTTCAACAAAACTTTGTAGTTCTTCCCATACTTCACATATTTTCTTAATGAGGAAGGGACATCCTCTACTCACAACTATTTCCTTAGGTTGAACCTTACCACTGACTTTCTTGGGACCTGTGGCAAGATATATAATAATTACTATTATGTTCAAATACCCAAAAATCCGAAAAACACTGAAATTCTTTACAAAGAATTCAAGCACGATAGTCACTAGACAGGAGGCACTGATAAACTGGGGGCGGGATCGCTGTGCCACCATGCGCTAGGTCGGCCCTTACGTGTATCAACAAACTCGTTTCCTGAGGTAAATTCGTAACCCAATTCAAATTTTCTGAAGAAATTGGGCTCGTAACCCGAAAAGTTTGTAAAGAGGGGCATTCGTAAGCCGAGGGGTCACTCGGCTTACGTAAAAATGAATAATTTACATAAAAATTATTGAGCATTGCAGCAACCATGTCGGCCCAAATCCACCCTCTGTTGTCCCATACTAGGCGGATTGTTTAAATCCACTCCTGTTTTGTTCCACACTAAGCGGATTCTGTTGAAATCCACCTCCTGTGTTGTCGCATACTAGGCAGATCCGGTTTAAATCCCCTCCCCCCCCTTACCCATGTACACATCCAATCCATCTATAAAACCTGCTAAACTGTTTCTCTTAACGCTGGCATTAGCCTGCATGTCTCCCTCGCCTGCAACCCTGTTTTCTAAGCAATATTTCCCTATATATATCTCCCTCCTAAAAAGGAATTTCTGCAGTTTATGCCCATGGTTGTGGGTTCAGATCTGATCAGTTTGAGAACCCTGTTTACCATATGTGCCCCCCCTTGTATATGCCGCGAACCCACTTTAGTGCTTTGATCACATCTCACTTGTCCTACGTCTCTCCGGCGAGCAAGTGAGTCCCTGATAACAGGTATCAAAATCAAATAAGAAACTTTATTCATGAATGATCATTTATACTTGATTTAGTTTAGATTTGTACAAAGGTCATAATAATAGCATAAAACATAATCATTATAATTATGTTATGTATAATACAAATCGCAAGAGCATTTATGACGCGGTGGCATCATACCAGACAAATACAGTTTAGATAATAACAACCTTTACAATTCTATCCTTCATGAATATATTATAAAAGATAGGAGACAAAGATTACTCGTTTCAAGAATATTTACTTTGTTGTAGCAAGATTCAACTCATCAATCATCCACTTATGTCGCACACAGGGTACACAGAAGTGGTAAACAAACTTATTTCATATTAATCCCCTTTTATTTGTGTTTTACAACGTCCCCCCTTCTCTCTCTCTCCATTTATTTGACTTTCCCTTCTTTCTCTATTCTCCGTCCCCCTTCCCTACATATACCATCCACACAGCTGTTGTTCCGGGGGTTTATCTCTTACCTGTGTTGGTGCCTCCTACACCAGGCCTGCCCCTCACCATCACAGCCTGCCATCTCCTTTCCCCCTCATTCTCCGCGGCTGCCTTCCTCGCCTGCCCTCCACTACTGACGGTCTGTTCCTCCACCAGGCGTTGTTCGTGGGCTACGGGCCTGACCTCCAGCAGGGGATGGAAGTGGAACCCTTCCAGAACATCGAACTCTACAACCTCATGTGTGCTCTCACCTCTGTTACACCCGCCCCCAACAATGGCACCTGGGGAGCCCTACACCACCTGTTGGTCGACCCCCCATCCATCCCAGCACCTAGCCAGGTGAGCACTGCCCTACTCCACCACCTGGGGAGCCCTACACCACCTGTTGGTCGACCCCCACTCATCCCAGTCAGATGAGCACTGTCCTATTCCACCTTGGGAAACTGTACAGTTCAAGTACGTTTATTGAGACAATAAAATACATCTCAAAGGAATAAAGTAGCTTAAGCTATTTCTACTATCCTCTACTTCAAGTCCCTCAAGGGGGCGCACAAATCCAGTGAGCACAAATCCACGAATCACAGTACAAGCATCACATTTTACATTGCAGGTTAATATGGTAAACACAGCATATAAGTGTTACACTCTTGTAACCGTACAGTACCCGTTTGCCGACGTCTCAGCATACCCTAACATCCAACCTAAATTGAAGATCAGGGCTGACATCCATTACATCGCGCCCCGAACCCCAACTGACTTCATCTTTCTTTTACAGGCTGTCAAACCCCCGACTCTTCCTTACATCAAGAACGGTGACAGTTCACACGAGTCCACCACTACTGGCTGCGAGGGTGACCTCCCCGGCTCTCAGGTAAGGTTATACACTTTACATTGTTAACTCGGTTATAGTGTTAATTAGACCTGAACTCAGACTCCATCATAGTAGCAGCGTATCGAGGCGGCACTCCCGCTATGGGGGATTTTCCCAACAGGTATTAATTTAATTTATTTATTTAATTGAGTGAACTGTGTGAAAACTTAGTTCTTCTGCTGGGTTTACCCTCTACACATAATTTGGGGGTTATTGTAAATACGCAGCCTATATTACATCGTTAGTTAACTACCAATTGATTAGTATAAGTAAAACCAGCAGCTAAGCTGTCAGAGGTGAGTAGTAGATTCTCCTGCCATGCAGCCGTCCTGAACTAATGAGTTACAGAGACTATTCCCAAATGTTGTCGTCCAGACAGGTCCAGATAGGAAAGAATTCGTAGCTGCTATCTCCATTTCCTCGGGCTACATGTGAAGAAGAGCTTAAACGGTAATATTCTTACCAAAACCCAGGGTTATAGGCAGAAAGAGATGATTAAATTGATAATAAAGGCTCACCAAGTTGTTTTAGGTCGCTCAGATCTGCAAGACTCACTCGCTCAAGTGTGTCCTAAGCTACCTATGAAGGGTACAAGTATTAATATAGCGAGCAGTGGTAGGTCCTTCCGTCTCGAGAGCCATGTGCTTACTGCCGCCTGCATGGCGTGCCCCCTCTTCCTCCCCTCCACCCGTCTGGATGCGTCTAATTTTCAGCTGATTTTATTATCAACTAAGGAGGAAGACATATAGGTATTCATTATTTAATATTATATCCAGTATTTAATGAATGCTTTCTTTAATATTTCAACTTAAAACTGGAAGTATTTTAATTTATGAAGGGAAATATTAGGTACTGGCTGGTGGTGGCTGATGCAATACCTTCCCACTTTTGCTAGAAAATCTTTCTCCTTAACTAGTTTAGTATTGTTAGTAATGGACTGACTTTACTATTTTAATTAAGCAGGCCAGTTGTTAGTAATGGTTGCCGGAATTTATCTTCACCCGTTGCAGTTGTGTACTCGCCTAGTTGTGTTTGCGGGGGTTGAGCTCTGGCTCTTTGGGCCTGCCTCTCACTTGTCAATCAACTTATTTTTTCACACACACACGTTGTGTGTGTGTGTCTGTGGGCTCTGTCAGAGTTTTAAACTCTGAAAACTTTAAACTTTAAGTTTAAACTTTAAACTAAAGAAACTCCTTATTCAGAGTTTCCCTCTGACTAAGGAAAACAGAGGGGGCATATACGGAAAGTGACAAGGAAATCTGCAAGGTACTGAATGCCAGTTTCCATGCTGTTCACAACCGAGCCTGAGCAGTTCCTATTGTTAGAAGAGATTACCCTAGATGAAAGACTATCAGATATAGATGTCACAGCAGAGGAGGTAATGAAACATTTGACAACACTGGATGCAACTAAAGCAGTTGGACCAGACGAAGTATCACCTTGGATACTAAAAGAGGCAGCACAGGCCCTCAGCGTGCCTCTGGCAAGGATCTTTAATGAATCACTTATGTTGGGAGAGTTGCCCAATTGCTGGGAGAGGGCAAATATCATACCGATTTTCAAGAAAGGCGATAGGGAGGAGGTACTTAACTATAGACCTGCACGGTCCTTGCAACATCCTGCCTCTCGCCTCTGTCATGCTTTAACTTTTGCCCCACCTGTGGTTTCTGTTCCTCTTCACCACCTCCCTCTTTCTGTCCGGTTATCTCGCTTACAGGATTCTCTTTTAATTTGTATTTCTAATATTTCTCCTCGTGTTGTTCCTTTTTTGCCCCCGTGGAGAGCCCCCTTCCGCAGTTTTGTACATCCTTAACTCGCATCACTAAAGCTTTTACCCCTCCTACGGTTCTAAAACGCCTTTTCCTTGAGTACTTTTCTTCTCACTCCCGCTCCGTTTCCATGTTCACCGATGGGTCTAAGTCTGCTGACGCTGTAGGCTACTCTGTTGTTTTTCCTGATTGCACTTGTATGTGTTGCTTACCTCCGGAGACTAGCATCTTCTCAGCAGAACTTTATGCTATTCTCTATGCTCTTCGTCTCCTGCTTTCTCGTTGTCAATCTTCCTTTGTAGTTGTTGTTGACTCTCGTAGTGCCCTCATGGCTCTCGGGTCCTTTAATCCGGTTCATCCAGTGGTTGTCGAGATCCAGCATTGGCTGTTTCTTGTTCACAGTAAATTTGTCAGTTGAGTTTTGTTGGGTTCCCAGCCATATTGGTGTCTCTTTAAATGAGCATGCGAATCCTGCCGCCAGGGAAGCTGTCCGCTCTTGTCCCATCTCTCGTAAAGGTATTCCTTACTCCGACTTTTACCCAGTTAACCATTCCTCCATCCTTACCCGTTGGCAGGCTTGTTGGTCTTCTGTTACTGGTAACAAACTGCGTACTCTTAAGAGTTGTGTGTCCTTGTGGCTGTCCTCCTACCACTGTAACCGGCGATGGGAAACGGCTCTGGCGAAGTTGCGTATTGGCCATATTCGCTTAACTCATGGTCACTTAATGGAGCGCCGCCCTGCTCCTTATTGTCCCTATTGCATTGTCCCTCTTACGGTCGTGCATGTCCTTGTTGAAAGACCTGACTTCCAGGACGAGCGTGTGTCTTGTTTTCCGACCGTCCCCCACGGTCACTTGTCCCTCGATAGAATTCTTGGTGACTAGAGTACTTTTGATATCGTTCGCCTTATGCGTTTCTGTTCTCGTTTTGGCATCCTTGGTGATATTTAGCGCCCTCTGATTATCCCGCACATTTGATGGTGCTACATAGCCTTCCCGGTTTGGTGCCTTCTATTGATTATTACTTCCTTAACTACAGACCTGTCTCACTGACAAACATCCCCCTGTAAAATACTTGAAAGAATAATTAGGCTAATACTGGTTGCACACCTAGAGAACATTAGGTTTTAAACAAACATCAACGTGGGTTCTGGAAATGGAAATCTTGCCTAACAAACTTTTTGGAATTCTATGATAAAATAACGAGGATAAGGCAGGACAGAGAAGATTGGGCAGACTGCATATTTCTGGACTGTCAAAAATCATTTGATACAGTACCGCACATGAGACTGCTATTCAAACTCGAGAGGCAGGCGGGAGTGAGCAGAAAGGCCCTAGCATGGGTAAGGAACTACCTAACAGGAAGGAGGCAGAGTTACGGTAAAGGGGCGAGAAGTCGGACTGGTGAACAGCAACGAGTGAAGTACTTCAAGGATCGGTGCTGGGACCAATTCTATTTCTAATATACGTTAACGACATGTTTACAGAGTAGAATCCTACATGTCGATGTTCGCAGATGACGCAAAGTTGATGAGAAGAGTTGCGACAGATGAGGATTGTAGGATCCTCCACGAGGACTTGAACAGGTTGCAGGGATGGTCAGAAAATGATTACTGGAGTTCAACACGAGCAAATGTAAAGTTATGGAAATGGGATTAGGTGATAGAAGACCAAAGGGACAGTACGCAATGAAGGGGAACTTCCTACCTGTGACGACTTGAGAAAGAGACCTGGGCGTGGATGTAACACCTAATCTAACTCCTGAAGGCACACATAAATAGGATATCGACAGCAGCGTATTCTACACTGGTAAAAGTTAGAACATCATTCAGAGACCTAAATAAGGAGGCATTTAGGGCACTTTACACTGCCTACGTGAGGCTAGTATTAGAGTATGCCGCCCCATCATGGAGTCCCCACTGTAGAAACATAAGGAAACTGGAAAAGGTTCAGAAGTGTGCAACAAGACTCGTCCCAGCATTACAAGGGATGGGGTATGAAGAGCGCCTGAGGAACCTGAGCCTTACGACACTAGAAAAAAGAGGGGAGAGTGGGATATGATAGGACCATTCAAGCTTGTTCGCATATATATATATATATATATATATATATATATATATATATATATATATATATATATATATATATATATATATATATATATATATATATATATATATATATATAATAATATATATATATTATATAATATAATATATATATATAATATATATATATATATATATATATATATATATATATGTCGTACCTAGTAGCCAGAACTCACTTCTCAGCCTACTATGCAAGGCCCGATTTGCCTAATAAGCCAAGTTTTCATGAATTAATGTTTTTTCGACTACCTAACCTACCTAACCTAACCTAACCTAACGTTTTCGGCTACCTAACCTAACCTAACCTATAAAGATAGGTTAGGTTAGGTAGGGTTGGTTAGGTTCGGTCATATATTTACGTTAATTTTAACTCCAATAAAAAAAAATTGACCTCATACATAATGAAATGGGTAGTTTTATCATTTCATAAGAAAAAAATTAGAGAAAATATATTAATTCAGTAAAACTTGGCTTATTAGGCAAATTGGGCCTTGCATAGTAGGCTGAGAAGTGAGTTCTGGCTACTAGGTACGACATATATATATATATATATTATATTATATAATATATATTATATTTATATATATATATATTATATATATATTATATTTATATATATATATATATTATATATATATATTATATATATATATATATATATATATATATATATATATAATATATATTATATTATTATATAATATATATTATATTATATATTTATATATATATATATATATATATATATATATATATATATATATATAATATATATATATATATATATAATAATATAATATATATAATATAATATATATTATATAATATAATATATATTATATAATATAATTATATATATATATATATATATATATATATATATATGTTTCATTGAATATGACCGCATATTCTGTATTTATTATTTTCTGGTTTAGGGCTTCTATCCCTCTAACTATTTTCTTAGCATCAGGGCTTAATTGAAATAGGAGTTCTCCAAAACTCATTTTCGTACTTTTAAGGTGAAGAAAAGAAGTGGTTTACTATAGAAGTACTTGTTATGAATAAAGTTTCTAAATCTGAGTTAGACATGAACTGTCTCGATTATAGTGTTAAACATGTGTTCTGACGCATTCCAACACTTATTACAATCATATCATCCCTCGCCGACAACAATCACAATTTTTACAACCTTCTACCTCAGCATTCTTCAATTACAATCTCTGAATCTCGACATTCACACTCATCAAATCATCTATAGTAAATCACTTCTTTTCTTCACCTTAAAAGTACGAAAATGAGTTTTGGAGAACTCCTATTTCAATTAAGCCCTGATGCTAAGAAAATAGAGGGATAGAAGCCCTAAACCAGAAAATAATAAATACAGAATATGCGGTCATATTCAATGAAACATATATATATATATATATATATATATATATATTATATATATATATATATATAATATATATATATAATATATATAATATATTGGATAAATGAGAGGGAAGAATGGAAGTAACTGCAAAGGGTCTATTGGCCCATACTTCCTCTTGATGCTTCTATATTGGTACGGAGTCTTGAAGTGGGTAGATTATATATATAACCATTTCCTTCCCCTTTACCTATTCATTCAATCGTGCTAGAGTGGGGACTCAAAGCTTCTTTTTGGGGAGCATGAAATAGACTCCTGTGAAGGAGTCCAACAAGGTGATCCCTTAGCCCCCCTCCTTTTCTGCTTAGCTATCAAAGAGGTCACTGATAGTCTGACAAGCGAGCTAAACATCTGGTACCTGGATGATGACACTCTCGCCGGAACCCCGGTTACCATTTTGGAGGATATAAGGAAATTCTAGGAGCAAGGAAATAGTGTCCCACAACCCAGACATCACTGGCCAAATAAAAAATGTTCTTCCAGACATGCTCGTTGTCGACCCACCTGACTGCACCCTCCTGGGTGCCCCATTGGCCCGCAAGCACTCGAGGAGGTCCTGGATGCAAAAGTCACTAACCTAAGGAGAATGCTGGACAGGATTGACAAGATTGATGCCCATGATGCTCTCTTCCTCCTCACAAGATGCCTATCACTCCCCAAGTTGACTTTCTGATTATATCCATGAGTCAAGTACATAATCAAGAGTAATCAAGTACACCTATTTTGTCCAGGCATCTACACCCTTGTCCACCCATTAATGTAATGATCGCTGTAACTTGTTAGGAATAAAGTTTCTGAATCTGAGTTAGACATGAACTGTCTCGATTATAGTGTTAAACATGTGTTCTGACGCATTCCAACACTCATTACAATCATATCATCCCTCGCCGACAACAATCACAATTTTTACAACCTTCTACCTCAGCATTCTTCAATTACAATCTCTCAATCTCGACATTCACACTCATCAAATCATCAAATAACAAGAAAAAATCACTCCATGATAAAATGTAAGAGAAAGCTTGCTGTGTGGCGCCCTTGCTGACTGGCAGATATGACGTGATGTCACCTCCAGTCTGGCTGACTGGCAGATATGACGTGATGTCACCTCCAGTCTGGTTGACTGGCAGATATGACGTGATGTCACCTCCAGTCTGGTTGACTGGCAGATATGACGTGATGTCACCTCCAGTCTGGTTGACTGGCAGATATGACGTGATGTCACCTCCAGTCTGGCTGACTGGCAGATATGACGTGATGTCACCTCCAGTCTGGCTGACTGGCAGATATGACGTGATGTCACCACCAGTCTGGCTGACTGGCAGATATGACGTGATGTCACCTCCAGTCTGGCTGACTGGCAGATATGACGTGATGTCACCTCCAGTCTGGTTGACTGGCAGATATGACGTGATGTCACCACCAGTCTGGTTAGCAGACACTCTGACCATTTATGCAATTAAATCATGTACCTTCGCTTTAGCAATGGTGGTAGTAAGTAATAAGGAGATGGTGGTAGTAAGTAATAAGGAGATGGTGGTAGTAAGTAATAAGGAGATGGTGGTAGTAAGTAATAAGGAGATGGTGGTAGTAAGTAATAAGGAGATGGTGGTAGTAAGTAATAAGGAGATGTTTACACAATATTCCATAAGATCTTAGGTAGTAAGAATCATAACAATTGTTGTTGAGATTAATTATAATCTACAGTAGGTGTATACTCACCAGTTCAGGTAGTTTACAATATACTGATTAATTATGATGATTCATCCTTTTAATAGTGCATTATATTATGTAAATTATGATGAGATGTTTCACCATTTGCAGTATTAATCCCACTAAGTTCCAATACAAATTCTATTACATTGTTCACTCTTCACAAGATCTGTAGTTTGTCATAATTGTTTGTGTCATTATCTCCTGTCATCCGTGCCACTCCTACCGCCCTGGGCACTACTATGCTTGACCTCCGGCAGGCGTGGAGGACGCTGCTGGAGCTGACAGAGGCGCAGCAGCTGCAGTATGAGAAGAGCCACCTGCCCTGGGGAGCCCCGTCCTTGACGCCCTCAGATCCGCCCTTCAACACCACCGACCCGACGGTGTCCCTCCTCCATCACCATAACCACGTCACAGGTAACAGTGCTCGGGGTGTCCCTCCTCCATCACTATAACCACGTCACAGGTAACAGTGCTCGGGGCGTCCCTCCTCCATCACCATAACCACGTCACAGGTAACAGTGCTCGGGGCGTCCCTCCTCCATCACCATAACCGCGTCACAGGTAACAGTGCTCGGGGCGCCCCTCCTCCATCACCATAACCACGTCACAGGTAACAGTGCTCGGGGCGTCCCTCCTCCATCACCATAACCACGTCACAGGTAATACTGCTCGGGGCGTCCCTCCTCCATCACCATAACCACGTCATGCTGAGGTGCTGGAAAATGAAGCTGGTGGCCCTAGGGTCTTTTATAGTTTCGAGTAGCTTAGAACCCAGATCCTTCAAAAAAAAATAGTGGCACTTTTACCCCAGGCACCAATTGTCTCCGAGGCATAGGGGACGGAATTGTAATGGTGAACCAGATCTCTGTACTTAAGAGACTTGGCTGATTCCCTGTGGGTGAAGTGTCTGTGCAACACTGAAGTCAATGTAGGTGTTAGCCAAGATTGTTGTCCCACACCAACTCTTTACCATTGTTCCAGGGGGTTCACTGTGATCCCGTCTGGGCGACCAGCAGGCTCCTCAGAGTTGCGGGGAATTAGGTAACGGGGAATCTCTCTCTGCTGGACAGCCAAGTGTGGTAAGGCTCCTCTTAATGATGTCATTGACTTGACTGTCTTGAGTGCCATCCCCCTGTGCTTTGGCATAGCAGGCCATACTAGCCGTACCTGTCACTCACTGCTTATGTACATTTTCTAATTTACCAGAACTAGAAAGTATATTAAGTGCAAGTATATTAACACACGACGATGATTTATCTGTTTATTGTGACCATTGAATATATTCAGTAACGATGTGTCTTAGGATCGTCTTTTCTTAGATATTCCAGAGTGTCCCAAGTTCATTTTCAGATCCCAGAGAAGTACTAATTGAGCTGCAAAATGGTGTTGGGCCGAATCCAAAGTTTAAGAAATTATACCAAGAATATGGGATAGAAGGAAATTTGTGGTCGCTACCCTGTATTATGGACAGTAGTTGAAAAGCTCACGCTTGCATTTCTATCATTACATGGTAGAAGGCAGTCTTAGCGGGGGTCGTCCAACTTCTCACGAAGGCGAGGTCCCCTTCGCATTACTGAAAGTGGTGATTTAAAACTCATGATAACTACCGTTAAACCTGATAGTGGAAAAGGATTTCCAATTATTAAGCTCATCGAGCACATTAAGAGGACTGAGGAGAAGGCCATGTAATTCTACGGGACCCCTCGCCTACCACTCTTATTTGTACCATATAAATTACTTTCCGAGTTAGTATATCTGGTGCATCGGATGTGGAATGTACGTACAAGTACTGTATATTAATGCTACTCTTATAATTTTAGTTTTAAAAATGTCTTCCTTAGTGTGCCGCATACATGTTATTATAAATAATAATTTGTATGGTGTGTCCGAATCTTTTTTTGAATTCGAAAAGGGTTCGAATCCTTCAGGATTCGAACCCTTTTCCTCCCAATCCTCCTTTCAGGGGGAAAGTGTTTTCTGATGCATGTTAGCTTGGGGACCATTAAAGCTTTAAGCACAAATGTTTCTCCCGTGTCCCCAGCATGATGAAGTGATTTTATGAAATATGTGCCTAAAATGGTCACCAAGAGCTGTCGGGAATTGGGTTAAGGGTTAGACGACTTCTAATTATTTTGTGCAGTCTGTGTGGCCTAGCGATAACAGTACTGTACACGCCAAGGGGCATGGAGCCCTGGCTGTCCGGGTTCGAATCCTTCAGGGGTAGAGTTTTCTGAGACATGTTAGCATGGGGACCATTCAAGCTTGATGTGTATAACCCCCTCCCCGCTCAGCTCGTTGTCGCCGTGTGGGGGCTTCGTGGGCGGCTGCCGGAGTGTGATGCTCCTTGGGACAGTCCTCTGTCCTTTTCTAGCCTTGTGCTCCTGCTGCCGTCCTCTCCAATTCTGCTGGGCACCTTTTCCTTCTGTTTCGTTTTTCTCCCCCCTCTTCTCCTATCTGCTTGCCGTTTCCTGCCGACCTTTTGCTCGTTCTGGTTCTTCCCTTGGACTTCTTCTGTTTTGACGCCCGGGTGCTTGAGGAGGCATACTCATGCACCCGTAGAACTGCAGTACCCGACGTCGAGAGCGAGGGGAACCTTTTATTGTCAATCCCCACTTCGTCACTGAACCCGATCTCGACGGACTGTCGGTTTCTTAAGGTGGCGTTTGTGGGGCGTATACTCACGACGCACCCCTAGGAGGCCCCGACAAGATCGGCGATTGCTTCTTGTTGGGTGTCCTGCCTCTAATTGTGGCTCCATGGTGGGTGTGGGGGCACATTCGTGAATGAATTCTTCTTTTCGTCAAGATGATAACCCCTGTTTCGGCTGCTTCTGGCTTACCTTCTCAGGCTCGTGGGGTGGGCGACCAAGCCCCCGAGTCGGTCCGTATTGGAAGACCGGGCTCTGTAGCCTCCGCTGCATTGGGCCCCGACCTTGCTCCTCCTTTGGCCTCTCTGACTCCTTCCCTGGCTCCCCTCCCTCCTCTGTGGTTGGGTCGAGCCCCAAGCCCCTAGTGGTGACTACCTCGTCCCCTGGCGCGGCTCCTTCTCTAGTTGTAACTACTGCGCCTTTTAAACCCTCTCTCTCTGGGGGTTCTCACCGCCGTCCTCGTTACGGCCGCCCTCGCTCGATTCCTTCCAGTTCTGCTACCTATCAAGCCTTGTTTGGTCCCGCTTCGTGGGCCAAATATTTTGATCTCCTCCCTCTTGATTCTGCGCCTCCTGACGATTTCTCCCTCCATCGACATCTCATTGATTCCGTGGATGCCTCCATTACTTTCAACCCCACTCGTCTCGGTACACGTGTCGTTGCTGCTCCTTCTCAGGATGCTGCTTCCCGCTTGGCTGCCTTATCCTGCCTTGGCGAGACCCCCGTTCGGGTCTCGAAGAACGCTCAGTTGAATGCCAGTGTTGGCACTATTTTGCTCCCGCCCCATGTTGCGACCGGTGTTCGGGACCTGCGCGACTGCCACGACGATATTCGACATATCCTCGCTGCCCAGGGCCATTCTATTCTCCAGGTGGACACGTTTACTCGTCCCCCTCGTGGTAGTCGCCGTCAACCCCTCCGGGTTGTGAAGATTACCTTTGATGGTAGGACCCTTCCACCCTCTGTCATTCTTGCTGGTGCCAGGTGCTCTGTCCAGGAGTACATTCCTTCTCCTCGGCTCTGCAACAAGTGCTGGAGGTTTGGGCATGGTGCCCTCCGCTGCTCCGGGACTGTCTCTCTCTGTCCTTTGTGTGGTGGCGAAGGTCACTCTAAGTCGGAGTGCACTTCTCCCCAGGCTCGTTGCCTCAACTGCGGTGAGGCCCATCCTACCTTCTCCCGTGCGTGTGTCCATTACAAGCTTGAGGCAGCCGTCCTCAACCTGAAGCACCGGGAGCGTTTATCTTTTCCTGAGGCGAGGCGCCAGGTTCGCCGGCTCCCGCCTTATGCTACTATCTCTTACGCTCGCGTGTTGCGCTCTTCCTCTCCTCGTCCTTCCCGCCTTCCTCAGACTCACAACCGTTTCCGGGCCTTGGACCCTGATGCGCCCACTGCCCCCTCCTCTGTTCCTTTGGGTTCTCTCCCGAAGGATCCTCCTCCTGGTCCTCTGTCTGGGGTTCCCCTTCCTTCTACCCGGTCTGTCGTGTCTTCTGTGTCTTCTTCCTCGTCCCCCTCCGATCCTCCTTCCCATCCTCTTCCTCCATCTATCGGCTCTCCCCACCGCCTGTCGGTGCGGGCGGATGTCCATCGCTCTCGTAACGGCCGTCGTGTGTGCTCTCGTTCGGCTTCTCCTGTTGAGACACTGGAATCCGTTGCCCGGTACGTAGTTGCTGGGACACCGGTCTCTTTAAGTCAGAAGCGTAAGCCTGGCTCCTCTCCTTCCTCTTCCCCGGCGGGTAAGAAGGCTTCGCTTTCTTCCTCAGCTCTTCCTTCTGGCTCTGTTGCTTCTTCCCCTCCCGTTTCAGTGCTTGCGCCCCCTGTTCCTGCTATGGAGGTTTTTTTGGCCCCTGCTTCCCTTTCGGTTGCTGCTCTTGCTGGGGTGCGCTCCCCTTTTTCTACTCCCCCTCCTCCTGCTGCTGTCCTTGACTGCTCCTCTCCGTTGTCTCCTCTTCCTCCTCCTCCTCCTCCTCCTCCGGACCCTGCCCGCCCACCTCTGATCTGTTCTCCCGTTTCCTTCCCTCCGTCTTTGCTCAGTTTACCCATGCCCCCTAACCCTGACTTTGCTGACCCTGATATTCTTTAACGTGCTCTGTTGCTCTTTCGCCTTTGTTTCTTCCTTGTTCTCTGTTTTTGTCCTTTCTCTTCTCGTCGTTGTCCATTCTTCAATGGAACGTTCGAGGTTATTACGCCAATTTCCTCGAACTCCAACTTCTGATTTCGCGGTTTTCGCCAATTTGTGTCTGTCTCCAGGAGCCAATGCTTTGTGCTCGTCCTGGTCGTTTTCGTGGCTATTCCTTTCTCTCCCCCCCCCTTCCCAGCCATTGCTGGGGCTTCTAATTCTTCTGCTCTCTTGATTCGGGCTGATGTTCCCTTTGTTCCTTTACTTTTTCCTTTGCCTCTCCATTGTTCTGCTGCTCGTATCTTTGTGGGGAAATGGTACACAGTTTGTTCCATTTATCTCCCCCCGAGTGTCCCGCTCTCTCTTCCTGATTTGAAACACCTCCTAGACTCCTTGCCGGAGCCTGTGCTCCTGCTGGGTGACTTCAATTGTCGTCATTCTCTTTGGGGTGACGTTCTGACGAATACCCGGGGTCGCCTCCTTGAGCCGTTTCTCCTCTCTTCTTCCCTGTCTCTTCTGAATTCTGGTGAGCCCACTCATTTGGACTCTCGGACTCGCACCCTTTCTTGTCTTGATCTTTCTCTCTGCTCTTCTTCTCTTTACTTAGATTTCACGTGGCAGGTTCTTGATGACCTCCATGGAAGTGATCAT